GATTTTTGATTACTGCTTCAATTTCTTAGTGGTTATGGGTCTGTTCAGGTTTTCTGTTTCTTCCTGGTTCAGTTTTGGTAGTTTATACATCTCTAGCAATGCATCCATTTCTTCCAGATTATCTAATTTGCTGGCATATAGTTGCTCATAATATGTTCTTGTAATTGTATTTCTTTGGTGTTGGTTGTGATCTCTCCTCTTTCATTCATGATTTTATTTATTTGGGTCCTTTCTCTTTTCTTTTTGGTTAAGTCTGGCCAGGGGTTTATCAATCTTATTAATTCTTTCAAAGAACCAGCTCCTAGTTTTGTTGATTTGTTCTACTGTTCTTTTGGTTTCTCTTTCATTGATTTCTGCTGTGATCTTTATTATTTCTTTTCTCCTGCTGGGTTTAGGCTTTATTTGCTGTTCTTTCTCCAGCTCCTTTAGGTATAGGGTTAGATTGTATATTTGAGACCTTTCTTGTTTCTTGAGAAAGGCTTGTATTGCTATATACTTTCCTCTTAGGACCGCCTTTGCAGCATCCCAAAGATTTTAAACAGTTGTGTTTTCATTTTCATTTGTTTCCATGAATTTTTAAAATTCTTCTTTAATTTCCTGGTTGACCCATTCATTCTTTAGTAGGATGCTCTTTAGCCTCCATGTATTTGAGGTCTTTCTGACTTTCCTCTTGTGATTGAGTTCTAGTTTCAAAGCACTGTGGTCTGAAAATATGCAGGGAATGATCCCAATCTTTTGGTACTGGTTGAGACCTGATTTTGACCTAGGATAGATCTATTCTGGAGAATGTTCCATGGGCACTAGAGAGGAATGTGCATTCTGTTCTTTGGGATGGAATGTTCTGAATATATCTGAATATACCACATCTTCTTTATCCATTCATCTGTTGATGGACATCTGGGCTCTTTCCATAGTTTGGCTGTTGTGGACATTGCTGCTATTAACATTGAATTTTTAAAGGATGTCTCCAACTGCTGCTGCACAGAGTAGACTTTGGAGGGAACATGAGTGGAAGTAGGGAAACCAATTAAGAAGCCCTTTTGGTAGGCTAGGTGAGAGATCATTGCCGCCCTTACTAGTATGGTAGATGTGAAGGTGGGGGAAAGTATTCAAATGCCAAATATATCTTGAAAGTAGAGCTGTTGGAAATTACTGATAAAATTAGAAGGTATCAATGATAATTTCTGTGCCTTAGCTACTGGAGGAATGGTGATGCTATTTACTGAGACTGAGACTAGGGAAGGAAGAGTTGGAGGCACGAATCAGGAGATTTAAATAGAAAAAAAAAGATTTAAATATCTCTTCAGTTCAGTATGACTACAACAGTCAGGGAGAGAGTCAAGTGGACAGTCATCCAGCTTTGGTGTTTAGGGGAGAGGTCAAGACTGGAAGTTTAGTCTGGGATGATATCAGCTCAAGAGAAAGTAAAAAGGAAAGAGGTATGGAACTGAGCCCTGGGCCAACTCTAACATTAGAGGACGAAAGAGAAGGAAGAATAAGCACTTGAGAAGGAAAAGGAGTGGTTGGCCCATAGGATAGGAAAAAATGTAGGATAATAGTGTCCCAAAACCCAAAGAAAGTTGTATAAGAAGGGGATGTGATTAACTGTTAACTAAAGCTAAAAGATAATGATTAAGATGAGGACTGAGAAATTTACCATTGGATTTGATTATTAGAACTTGTTAGTGACCTTGATGAATATTTCATTGGAATGGCAATGACAGAGCTTGACTGATGTGGATTTCAGAAAGTACTAATAAATGAAGAAGTAGAGAAAATTATTTTAGGATGATCCCCATTAATAGGAGCAGGGAAATGGAGTGGCTGTAAGAATTAAAGAGGAGGTTTTATTTTTAGATGGAATATATTTCACCAGGTTTGCATGTTTATATGCTCATGGAAACACCTTAGATATTTGATTATTTGGAAAATAATTGGAAGCAGTATGTGATATGTTCACAAGTACACTAAAAGGATATTGAGAAACATGGACTTCTAACCGTTATGGGGCTGTTTTCATCAAGAAAATAATGAGGGTTAGTCTAGATGAGCTCAAGCTTTGAGATTCTGTGAGTATCCAGTGTGGGCCTCTCTGATACGTTTTGTTCGTGTATTATGGCAGTTCCGTTGGTTGTTAGTACCCCTGGAGGCTACAGGCAGTTAGTACCAGTGTCACAGTTACCTCAGAAGCCCAAACATAGCTGCTTACTGGCATCGGAATGCAGCGTCTAGTACCACAAAAACTCCCGTCTGCCAAAGACTACACATCGCTGCCACTGGGTGGAGGAAAAATGGACTCTGTCTCTCTTTGCCTTTCCGAACCTGGTGCATTCATATCTTATTGGCAGTACCTAAATTATATCAACCCTGATGGCCAAAAACTTTGGGTAATATAGTTTTCAGGCTTCCGTCCCTTGCCATACAGGGGGAAGAGCAAGAAGGGGGCAGGTAATTGCCAGTAAATAATTCCACAGAGGAGGTATAATGGACTTTATGAAGAATTAGATGAAAATTCTTGGCCTAAATGAGTTTTTTGCCTTATCTTTTGATAAACTTTTTCATGTTATTTTTTTCCTTTCCATTAGGTAAATGAATAGTTTATTTACTATGTAAGGGGTGTTTGGTGTTCTTTAATCTTTAAGGAATTTTAATGCAAAGAAGATAATCTTGTTTTAATGTCACAGCCTTTGGACATGAGGTGATCTGTAGTTTAAACTGAAGTATTATCTTTTTCTCTGCCATCTTGGGTGCATATTTTTCTGTAATGAACTTAGGTAATGGTCAGAAATGTGGGGCTCTTAGCTATTACAGAAAAAGGAATGAGAAGGATGAATCTGTATTTGCAAAGAGTAAAAGAAGTTCTTGGTCAGAAGGAGAAGGATCATTCTGCTTATGCTGTTGTCAATACCAAAACATATAAAGAATTCGTGGATTCTCTTTCTTAGCATAGAGCATTGTAACTGCTCTGCTTAGTCTTCTTTCCTCATTTCAACCCTCTTTTTCCTCACAGCCACTCCTTTCAGATGCTTAAGAGGATCCAATAGTCTAGTTAAAGATATGCAGTAAATTTGATGAATTGCCATTTCTTTGAAATTTCTGTGATCTCTTAGCATTATGTCCTTGATTTTGTTCATCCCATTTCATAATTCTACCCTCTTTCTAGATTGCGAGTCTAGAAAAGGTAAAGGGGAACATTCCTGAAAATACCTTTCAAAATGAAGGCAAAATCAAGACATTTTCAGACAGATAAAAACTGAGATAATTTTCCTCTGGAAGATCTGCTCTCTAAGAAATGCTAAAAATTTTTTAGAGTAAGGGAAATGATAGCAGATACAACTCCAGATTGGTAGGAAGGAAGAGCACCAGAATGGGCAAATATCTGGTAAAAATAAATGGTCTTTTTATAAAAAGTATCTTTATTTTATATGTGTATGTGTATATAAATGTCTTTAAAAGATTATTTTTTTTAATTTTTTTTTTTTTTTAAGATTTTATTTATTTGCAAGAGAGAGAATGAGAGACAGAGAGCATGAGAGGGAGGAGGGTCAGAGGGAGAAGCAGACTCCCTGCTGAGCAGGGAGCCTGATGTGGGGCTCGATCCCGGGACTCCAGGATCATGACCTGAGCTGAAGGCAGTTGCTTAACCAACTGAGCCACCCAGGCGCCCTTAAAAGATTATTTTTTTAATCAAAACGTGTAACAGTTTGTTATGGGTTTATAGCTTTATGTAGAAGTAAAATATAAGACATAACACAAGAGGTAAATGGAATTATAAAGTTATATTGTTCAAATAATATTTAAAGGTAGGCTGTGGTAACTTACAGATAATCTCTATAACAAACACTAAAAACTAGCACAAAGAAGTAAAGCTAAAAAAGCAATACAGGAAATAAAAGTGGAATACTGAAAAATAAGTATTTTAACCAAAAGAAAGCAGGAAAAGAATAAAGAAGAAATAGGATAAATAGAAAATATATACCAAGATAGTGGATTTAAACCCAGCTGTACTAGTAATTGCATTTAATGGGCTAAATACATCCGTTAAAAGGGAGAGATTGTCAAACTAGATTTTTTTTTTAAAGATTTTATTTATTTATTCATTTGACACAGAGAGCACAAGCAGGGGGAGCAGCGGAGGGAGAGGGAGAAGCAGACTCCCCGCTGAGCAGGGAGCCCAATGCGGGACTCGATCCCAGGACCCTGAGATCAGGACCTGAGCCAAAGGCAGTCGCTTAACTGACTGAGCCACCCAGGCGTTCCTCAAACTAGATTTTTTAAAAGGGAAGACCCAACTATATGTTGTTTATAGGAAGTAACATTTGATTGATTGATTTGAGAGAGAGAGAGTGTGCACACAAGCAGGGGGAGGGGCAGAGGGAGAGAATCTCAGGCAGACTCCCTGCCAAGTGGGGAGCCCCAACACTGGGCTCCATCTCCCAACCCTGAGATCATGACCTGAGCCAAAATCAGGAATCAGACACTCAACCGACTGAGCCACCCAGGCACCCCCATTGGTGAGATCTCTTTAATGACGGCTTAGTCCATAGGTATATTTTGTCATGAAGATCTTTGTGTTTAATTCAGTAAACAATAGGATCTAATTTCATTATGGACCTTTCACACTTTAGGAACTTTTCATTGGGAAAATAATTATTTTAGACAAATACAAGTTGTTACATGTTCAATAATATTTGTATGACTTGGTCATAAAACTTGTGGTAATTGGACTAAGCTTTTGGGCTGAATTTTTAAACTTTATGAGAAATGCCTTGATGTTTTAATCTTGAGACACATCTCTCAGCCCGGAGTGTAACTAGAAGAGTTCTAATCTCTATGTTGGTGTTTAGTTATGTGAACCTAAAATGTCAGAATATTCATGAAAAAAAAAAGTATATGAATATTTTAATGAGAGTTTAGTAAATGTAAATGTAGAGTGAGTCACTATAGAAAGATCTTCATATAATTTTATTATATGGCATTAAATTTTTTTTTTCTTCCAGGGTGCTCTGGAACAAGGTTCCAATTCTCAGCTCATGGCTGTCCAATACACAGAAACCACTAGTATCGGGTAAGAAAGTGTGGAAGTTCTTGGCCACAGAATTTTAAATACCTAGTATTTTAGTAAAGTTGAAAAGCATATTTCCCTTTTACCTTAAACTTGTTCTCGTCGGTGACTTTACTGTTAGTTCACATAACATACTGCTTCTGAGCAGTCAGAGTAAATCCAGATAATTTCAAAAGGTTAACTCTCAAATTCCTTAAATACAGATTTAGTTAGGATGCTGTTCAGTCATAATTTTGCTGTACAATTTAAATACACATAACTCTCGTCCTCGATTTGCATCTATTTCATGAGCCAAGGGGAAGAGAATGTTATTTGAATGTCTGCTCTGTGCCAGGTGTCCTGCTGAGTGCTTTACATGCATTTTATTCTTTAAATCTGTATAATAACTTAAAGTGTAGGTATCACAGTCCCTATTTTATATAGAGAAAAACTGGGCAAGTCACTTATTTTTTCTAAGCCAGAGTCATAGAACCAGTAAGTGGCAGAATCACCATTCAGATCTATTTGACTTAAAATGCATTTTTCGCCATACTGATGCTACTTAAGATTTTGAAGGATTCCAGAAGGAGTGCTGTGCCTAAGGTTGAAATGTATGGACCAGACATATCTAACTAAAAGGAACAGTATCATGGGAGGCGATGTAGTGTCATGGTTTAAGATGCTAGCTTTTGAGTTGGCAGAGTACAGATCATTTCTGCCACTTACTTGCTCTGTGGATTCAAGCAGGTCACTTAAAGTTTCCTCATCTACAAAACTTTGGCCACACAGCGTTGATGATTAAATTGCATACTTCATTTAAAGCACTTTACATGGTACTTGGCATGTTCAAAAGCCGGTAATGACGATGATGTGATATACTCATGACCGTATCACTGAAGTGGAAGTAAAGAGGGGCACCTGGGTGGCTCAGTCCATTAAGCGTCTGCCTTCAGCTCAGGTCATAATCCCAGGCTCCTGGGATTGAGCCCCGCATCAGGCTCCCTGCTCAGAGGGGAGTCTGCTTTTCCCTTCCCTCTGCCCCTCCCCCTATACTCGTGCTCTGTCTCTCGCTTTCTTTCTCTCAAATAAATAATTAAAATCTTAAAAAAAAATAAAGTGGAAGTAAAGAGTCTCAGATTCTGTCTGTACCTCTACCATAGACTTAGAGTTCACAATTTATTTAATAATAATTTCACATTTACTGAGCACCAGCTGTGTGTCAGACAGTGTACCAGGCCCTGAGAATACAGACCTAGTATAAGTTGAAAGCTGTTCATTATCCTATTACTGAGAATTACTATTAAATGGCAGTGAGCAGCATGTCAGCAATCATGAATGTTTAAAATCCTGAAATACTATATTATCTTGTAGAAATAGATAATTCAAATATATATAGTAACTAATAATTCTCTAGTGATCAGAATATTTCATTCATTTATTATATGCATATTTAAAATATTTTCCTTTTTTAAATGGAATTTTTTTTTTGAGAGAGAGTGTGTGTGATTGGGGGGTGGTGGGGAGAGGGAGAAAGAGAATTTCAAGCACGCTCCATGCTCAGCATGGAGCCCAACGTGGGGCTTGATCTCACAACCCTGAGATCATGACTTGAGCTGAAATCAAGAGTGGTACGCTTAACCGACTGAGCCACCCAGGTGCCCTGCCTCCCACTTTCTAAAGTAAGCTCCACGTCCAGCGTGGAGCCCAGTGTGGGGCTTGAACTCACGACCCTGAGATCAAGACCTGAGCTGAGATCAAGAGCCAGACACTTAACCAACAAAGCCACCCAGGCACCCAAATATTCATTTTTTGATGCATCATTATGATGGCATATTATTTCTTTACTAGTTAAAAATGTTTTTAATCTGGGGCGCCTGGGTGGCTCAGTCATTAAGCGTCTGCCTTCGGCTCAGGTCATGATCCCAGGGTCCTGGGATCGAGCCCCGCATCGGGCTCCCTGCTCCGCGGGAAGCCTGCTTCTCCCTCTCCCACTGCTTGTGTTCCCTCTCTCGCTGTCTCTCTCTCTGTCAAATAAATAAAATCTTTAAAAAAAAAAAAAGTTTTTAATCTGCATCTTCCTCTCAAGTTTGCTGTGAACCTAAAATTGTTTTCAAAAAGTCTTTAAAAAAATGTTTAAAATGGGGCGCCTGGGTGGCTCAGATGGTTAAGCGTCTGCCTTCGGCTCAGGTCATGATCCCAGGGTCCTGGGATCAAGTCCCACATCGGGCTCCCGGCTCAGCGGGGAGCCTGCTTCTCCCTCTGACCCTCTCCCCTCTCATGCTGTTTCTCTCTCGCTCGCTGTCTAAAAAAAAAAAAAAAATCTAAAAAAAAAAAAATGTTTAAAATGAATTACTCATGTATTCTGTAACTGTGAATCTGCCTTCTAACTAAAATGTACCTCTGCCCCAAAATCAATACTCAAGATGTTTTCATAGTCATTCATGAATGTGCTTAGATGGTCCCGGGTGAGGCTTAATTAAGAAGGCAACACTCTGCCTTCCTGTTTCAGCTCTCATACTGTAAACAAGTTTCTTTTTGAGGTCTATTAAGTGCCATATTTTTCACATTTTTCTGCTTTTTGTTGGTGATTTCACTGTTTGAAATGGCCCTGTAGCATAGTACTAAAGGACTACCTATTGTTCAAGAAGGCTGTGTTGTGCTATATGGGGAAAATCTACATATTAGATAAGCTTCATTCAGGCATTAAGTTATAGTGCAGTTGACTTTGGGTTCAATGGTAATGAATAAACTGTATATGTCAGAGGAGGTATCTTTAAACAGAAACATAAAACAAAGTTATATATTGATCAGTTGACAAAAATGGTTGTAACTAGGGGCTTGTAGGAACCTAACCCTATATTTCCCTTAGGATGTTTCAGTATTTACTAATTCAATGTTCACACTGACTTTATAGAACATAACTACCATGAATAATAAGAATTGATTGTGTATTCAGGGGTGCCTGTGGCTCAGTCGGTTAAATATCCAACTCTTGACCTCAGCTCAGGCCTTGATCTCAGGGTCATGAGTTCAAGCCCCACGTTGGCCTCCACCCTGGGCATGGAGCCTACTTAAAAAAAAAAAAAGAATTGATTGTATATTCAAAATAATATGGTTAGAAACGGCCTCACAGTGAGCAAGTGGAATTATTTCAAAGAAAATTCTTATGACTCATTTATAATTTTCCTTTTAGATCAGTCTTTTTTTCCTCTTAAAGTTTGATTGAAAACATAGAAGAACATATAAGAAAGAAAACATAGGTTGTCTTTTTGGAGAAAAATAAAACATTATTTCTTTAACTCTCCTTTAACTTTTAGGTATTAGCTTATTGTGCTAAATAGTAAAAGACTGAAAATATTAAAAACGATATTAATATCATTTGAGTATATCTTTTGGGGATACGATGTGGTTGAGGTACTATAATTTTAGTTAAAATTTTATGAAGGCACTGACATGGTACTTTTTTATGTATTTTTTTAAATTTAAGATTTATTTATTTGAGAGAGCGAGAGAGAGAGAGCACAAACAGGGGGAAGGGGTAAAGGGAGAGGGAGAAGCAGACTCCCTGCTGAGCAGGGAGCCCAACGTGGGACTCGATCCCAGGACTCTGGGATCATGACCTGAGCCGAAGGCAGATGCTTAACCAGCTGAGCCACCCAGGCGCCCTGACATGGTACTTTTAATATCTATGGCCAACATTTGTTGAGTGACTCCTAGGAAATAGGAGACCCATGCTTGGTACTTCACATATATAACATCTCTGACCCCAGTAACAATCCTGCAGGTTTATATGGTTATCCTCATTTTATGGATGAGGCAATTGAGGTTGCTCAGAGGTTGAGTTCCCCAAGAATACCCACTTGAGGAGTGGAGGAGAAAGTGAAAGCCAGGTCTGTTTATTTTCAAATCCTAAATTCTTCCCACCTTTCACACAGCGTTATAGGCAAGCATGCCTCACAGATTTGATGGAGTAGTAAAAAAGAAGTTTCCCTCAGACTTAATTTCTGTCACCAGAAAATTTAAAATCATGCCAACCAATGCAGCAATCTGTTTTCTGATACTTTTATTATTTTTACATGCTTTGCAGTGCACTTGAGTGGTACATTTTAGAGCTTTCCATTCAGAAAAGAGAGTTTTAGCTATTTAGTGAATTGGATCTTACAATTATCCTGACCTTGAGCTTTTCAAAATGTTGTTATTATAAAAACTATTGCCAAATGCTACTAATATTTTGTGGGAGAGAAATTCTTATAATTCAGACATAGCCTTAGAATGAGGAGTATTTTTGAGAGGATACGAAATTTGCTAGTTTAAGAACACTTTGCCCTTTTCTTCCTTCAGCAGGAACTCGGGGAGTGAGCTGCAAGTGTATTACGCATCACCCAGAAGTTATCAAGACTTCTTTGAGGCCATCCGTAGAAGGGGAGACACGTTCTATGTTGTGTCATTTCGAAGGGTAAGTTCACTTTGAAAGAATAAAAGTATTTTTGAGTACCTGCTGTGTACAGGGCACTGGGCTGTGGGAGGGAAAGAGATGTGAGGTAGGAGGCCATGTAGATACGTTATGCGAGTGGAACCTGGAATACATGCTTGTTTCTGAGCTGTTGAGCATTGTGAAGACGAACATAGAATTTCTTTTTAGGCTTTGTGGTGTTAGTCCTGTCTGGTTATTGAGAAATAGACTTCCCAGATGTGGGATTAAGGTGAATCATGGACTGATTAATATGTTAATGTGAAATGTTTGGATTTATGTTCCTAAGACTTCCTATTCTTTTCTCTCTCCTTCATCAGACATTTACTCCAGTTGGTGAAGCATGTGTTAGTTTATGCAAAAGGAAATGTTTGTATGAGTACTCTTGAACATTACAAATGTTAGATTAAATGGAAACAAGATGAAGAGCTATTTGCATTCCATCTACTTTTCCTATAAAATGAAAATATATTTTTCAAAGAGTTGCCATGTGAATATCTCTGTTAGAGTGCTGTGTATTAAACCAGGAACACATGAATGAGTTAGAATTCCTCGGAGGTTTGTATCCTAGGCTTTTCTTCTTTTTTTTTTTTTTAAGAATGTAGAGGGGGCCCTGTTAGGAATAAGCACATGCTAATTGTAAACAATTCATTCTCTGATTATTGTCAGCACTCACTATCTGAAATTCTCAGTTAACTCAGTTCTTTTCCTAACATATATATACATCTAGTAGCTCAGAATATTAGGATCAGGGAACTTTGACAGTTGAAGATTAGAGAAATCAAACATGTCATATATTTTTAGCTGTTAACCAAATACACTTGGAGATTTGGAATACTTTTGCAGTGCCATCTCATGATTTCTGCCTTTTCACAAGATTCCTTGTGCTCAGCTTATTCTCTCAGACATAATTGGTATATTTCCGTACTGAGCCAGCCTTGAAGTTCATTTCCAGCAGCAAGGGGGCAGCTGAGAACAGGGTTTCAGCAAGGCTGCTGAGAACTAAGTATTTGCCTTGTGTCGATAGTCATGTTAAAAGTGGAAAGAAAAAACCAAACTTTAGAAATGAGATCTCATAGCACTGTGAAGAGACATGATGGGTGTTAAAAAATGAATGGGTTGAAGTGTATGTTTATGGAAGCTACCAGAGAAAAGTGTTTTTAACACTCAAATAGGTGAGTACTTTTTCTCAGGTTCCAGATAATTTCTCTATTATTTTACCAAAACAGTATATATAGTACATACTGGAAGTATCAGTGGTCATGCCACGGGTTGAAGCTCTAGTTAGTAATGTTTTTCTAGGGAAGAGAACAATAATCCTAGCTTTAAAGGGATTATATATACAAAGGAAGATGAATGGTATTTTTATTTTAAATATATACATTATATTTCTTGTGTTTGTAAAAAGCTCTTTCTCTTCAGTTTACTGTAAAAAGCGCTGTTGGAAAATTACTGATTTCTCCCCGCTGCCCCAACTTTTTGATGTTCTAGAAGAAACAGTCTTTCTTATGTTGTGGAAAACTGTTAGAACTATCTGGCACATTCTGTTTGGATTTTTTATTTCCTAATTACTGATTTATCACATCTTGGTGTTTTATATCAAGGAAAAGTGAGGATGAACCTGAACTTCATTAGGTAACAATAGTTAGAGACAACATCCTGTTTCATTTTTTCTTGTTTTAACATCAGGGCTAAGGAAGTTAATTTTATCATGATGACTGTAAATTGTGTCATGGGACAGGAATTTGGTTCTTAAATGCTGGATTGTTCTTTTTGTTCTTGGTAAAATGAAAATGAAAGAAGTAATGACCTCATGCTTGGTTTTCACTTCCATTTTTCAATATAAAATATTCTTCTTCTAACATTTTCGTTAAAAAGATGAGGGGCATCATTTCTTGTGCAGAAGGATACAGGCTTTTTCTCCCACTTTAGTTCTTAATTTCATTGACAGAAATTACTATAATTGATACCATATGATTGCATTGGAATTTAAGAAATACAGAGGTTCTAAAGCCCCTAAGGTTCGGCTTAGTATAAACCAGACATAACAGAGCCAGTAAGCAAGCTGTATTGCTTTATTTTGTAAGTGGATATGTATTTAATAAAATATTTTAATATCTAAAAAAAGTAGAAGTAGCCATTGACTGTTTAGTATACCATTATTTAATAAACTTTCTCTGTCCCAGACTTCTACCTCCTCACACCCACCCCACGTTCCCGCACTCTTTAATCACATTACAGTTGAGCTGCTGAAATAATTTTCTCCAAGACTCACTCTTGGATAACTACTGACTTCCTGTTACAGGCCAGCAGGAAAGAATGCTTACGATCCCAGTAATCCTGTCAGAGGGTCAAACCTTTTCCTGTTCTTTTGACTTTGCTTTAAGTTTTTGCCTCCAACACAGCAACTCCCTCTACTCCCTTTATTTAGTTCCAGGTGTTCATAACTTATTTTCTTAGAGGTATTTTGTCTTTTTCTCCTTTCTTTGACTTGTTTTACTATGATTTGGAGCCTGGGTGGTGGAAAATAATGTTTTCTCAAACTTCTAAGTAACTTTGAATGTGGTATAACTGATACATTAATAAGAAAAAATCCAATTAAGTTTAATGTTTGTTTTTTTTTTTTTTCTCAGTGCTTTCATATGATAGTCTGTTTAGGGAGGGAGGGGGTAAATTAAAGAATATAATAAAATGAATTCAAAAGCATGGGACAGAAACAAATACTCAAGAAGGCTTTTGGAAGGTAGGACAAGAAAGTGCTTCTAAAGAGGGGAGGAAAGATAACATTGAGAAAAAAGGCAGGAAAATGATATTTACCTTGTCTATAATTCCACTAAACATTGAAATATTATTCTAGATGCCACTCTCTTCTAATAACTAAACAAAGGAATTTTTATCTTTCTGGGGGCAGTTTCCCATTAAGAACAGGCTCTCTTTGATTCACGTGGCTGTGAATGTCAGTTCACCATATCTTCATTCTTGTTTGAGATGTCCTTTTCCATTGAGATGGAAGCCTAGTTTTTGGAACATGATGTATTTCTTCTATATTTTCTGTTTTCAGTACGTGTCCCTCAAATCAAAGTCAGACACTTAACATTGTCTTTTCATCTGTTTCAGATACATACATAATGTAACACACATAAGGAAAACCTGAGCTCTGGCTATATGCCTGCCCAAGAGATGTTTTTCTCCCCCTCTTCCTGAGTACTTTATGCATTTAAGATATAATACCATGCTCTTTTTGAGTATTTTATGTATTCTTCGATAATAGTACCATATTTGGGTATTTTACCCCTTCTTGGTCTCATAAAAAACTTATTAGCGGTATCATATATGTGGCATGGATTCTTAGGGTAACCTTAAATAATAGGGTCTTATTGTAAGATACATGGGAATTGAAGAAGCATAGGAAACTGGCTCAGCAGCCAAGTAGTCCCTCTGTGCTTGTCCTTCCTAGACTGGAATGTATACTAGGCCTCATAGAGATTGCAGTAGTGGCTCGTTGTCATTCCCGATCCCACAGCAGCTCCAGTGATTCTGTGTTAGTCTTTTTCACACATCGCTCATTCAGACTTCCCAAATAGAGGATCTGATTGTGTGTATGTGTGTGTGTGCGCACGCACGTGCATATGTATGTATGTGTATATGTATCATCTCTTACGTAGAATCTTACATAGCTAGCCTGGCTCATGATTCATGGTCCATTCATTTGTGACCAGGGAAATAGAGTTGATTTCAAATGTATTCTCTTGCTTTGTAAGCCAGCAACTTTATGCAGAAGGAACAGCCTGGGGCCACTCTTCTGAAAAAATGATTGTGATGGGCCTTTAGAGCTTCATAAACTGTTTATTACACTCTACAACCTGGCTTTAAAAAAAAAAAAAAAAAAATTCTTATATTGGTCCCTAATTGTTTGATCTAAAAGGCTTATCTCCTTGTCTATATCCTAACCCTCTTAAAGGCAGGAAGTGTCATAGCTTTTTTATTACCACCCCTGACAGCACAATGCCAGCCACTCGGTGTTTATTAAACAGAACAATTTTAGGTAATGGTTCACTAAGAGAAATCACAGTGATGGAAGTTTGTTGCTTTTCATAATCATTTAAAGGGTATTTTTGCATCTGCTTTGCCTAAAGAACTGTGAATCTACTTTACCAATCCAAGGAATAACATAAGCAGTGTGAATTTTAACAGAAAATTTAGAGATGACCTTTCTCCACTTATGGTTGCACTAGCCAGAGATGCATCAGCTTTGTTCTTGCCTCTGAATCTAAGCTTTAGAGCTGAAGAAATCATCTGGCTGGAAGTTTGACTATGAAATGTTTAACAGTCACTAGGTAGAACTTTGAGGTGCTTACATCCTCATTTTTTAATGTTTGGCAGAAACATTTTGGAGGAGAATATTGTTAGACATCATTGCTTTCTTTTTTTGGAGAAGAGATGGGGTCTGGTATCTGTAGATTCCAGCATCAAGAGCCAGAAACTCGAAACCTTGGACAAAGTATAGAAGAAGCTCTAATTACTGCAGGAAGGTTGCTTTGTGATGTTTTTGGTTCAAAATGTTTGCCAAAGATGGATTCCCATGGAGGGCCATGAAAAAGAATTTCACAGAATAACTATGATATTTTCTAAATGTAATGCCTGGATTAACACCTAATATATGTTTAGAAGAATGGCATGGGATTTTTTTGATGCATATTATTTATTTCTTGGGATTACTGTTTAGTGTATATATACAAAATCGTCAGAGGCAAGAGGAATTTCCTTAGTAATCAACGGATAATAGTCACTTTATAAAGTCTACTTCAAAAGCATACAGCTCCTTTTGTTTTGGGACCTCACAACTGAAGCATACACATCAGTCTTGGAGTTTGACCATTTTCTTATCTCCACTTTCATTGTCGTTTAGCCAAATTCTTTCTCTAGATGGAAAAAAAAATGTGAATAAATGAGTTTGGAAAGATACTTGCATTTAAAAAAAGTCT